AAAAAAAAAAAAATTAAGGGCCAACATTTTTTTCCCTTAACTTCCAATAGGGTCGCTAAAATACACTTAGGTTTCAATAACGCTTACCTCTTTCCATTCTTCTTAAGACTGATATTACAGGTGTTTCACTGAAAAATTCTCTCCGTAACCAATATGTTGCTACATTCTATTATCACATAATCTGTGACAGAAGGGCATTCTAAAAATAATAGCTTCTGTTTGGGAAAAACAAATATTATCTAGAAGGTCTTCACATCTGCTTAAAAAAGTATTTTAAGGATTTTCATGTTGCTTATTTGTTGTTTGTTTTCAGGTTAAACTACATGCCTATTCTAGAAAAATGTAATAATACACAAAGGTGAAAAGAAGAAAAATGTAAACAGTCGATGATTCACTAGTAAGGCCACCCGTTACTTCAGTAGCCACCTGCTTATTTGTTAAAACCTTAGGCCTAGCCACCTCCTACCTCTTGCAAAGTCCTCCTCCTCAAAAGACGGCTCAGGACATGCCGAGTGTAGTGGCTTTAAATACAAGGGTCCTTGGGATTTTTATGGAAGGGATGGAGCTGTAGGAAAAACCGACAAATTGCTCCAGAGATGACATCTTGTTCTTATTTAGCTTTCTTTGAGTCATTAACAGTCGGGCGCCACTGGTGCCGAAACTTATCATTATTATAACCGCAAATGGGTTAATGCCCAAACAAAGCTATATTCTTGGGGCTGGCTCCGAGCTCCACCACACAGACCCCAGCAGCAGCACCCTCCAAGTCTTGGGATAAGACTACACAAATACAAGGATGTCAAATGTTCAGCTTGGACTTGGAATTCTCTTCTTTTATCTAGGGGTTTCTGGTTGCGAGTAGGGCAGAGCAAAAGGAAAAATAAATAAATAAAACCAAGCCAGTAAGCCCTAAAAAAAGAGGTGGTGTGGTTTAGTGGTCAGACCACTAGCCTGGATGTTGGGATAGCTAAGATCCAATTCCAGCTCTCCCACTGACTGAATGGACAATGCTGTGTCAAGTGACTTGGGCCTCAGTTTCTCTACTTAGAAAACGGAGAAGTGCCTTAGAAAGTTTTTTGTTTTTTGTTTTTTTTTTTGAGGACAAATGAAATGATCTGCAAGAACAGCTTTGGGTTGCTTGAGAATAAAGTAAGATTATCATCCTTAATAATTACTATCCAATTACTATATTAATAATACAGTAATAAGCCACAAATATGAAATTTAGGAAACTCCCATACCCTCAAGCTGGAGGAGGGTGCAGGGGAGGGAGAAGGCAGATATTTTTAAATCAAATTTTCAGAACTTCACATCAACTATCAAATGAGTAAGTTCATACCTCAAGATACTAAGTGCCTCTCCTAGTATGGCTTTGTCCCTTTATCCTTACCACATCCAAACTCAGAGTGACTCACAGGAGCCTAGAGTTGAGACACATATACAATTTGAAGGGAAAGGGAGAATTAGGAGGTTTGAGGCTCCTTGCTGGAGGAGGCTAAGAATAGGACACTCAGAACACAAAGAGAAGAACCTCCTTTTTCCTTTTCCTCCCAGTGTAGGTGGTCTGCCGGTTTCCCAGCTATTCCTTTGATAGCATGATTTTTGTTTTCTTTTTTCACAAAACCTCATCTCTTTGGAGGGGGAGGGCACTAACTGAAAAAAGTGAGAATACAGTGGCTTTTTCCTGCTAGGCTTGCATTGTGGCAAGTGCTCTGACCTGTGTTGGAAGTGGAAAGGAGAAAAAAGAGAAATATCTGGGGAGGTGACAACAATGAATGCTCTCTCCTCTTAAAGGAGAACTGAGCAATAGGCATAGGAGACAAGAAATCTATTAGGTGTCCTGTTTCTGAACTCCCCAAAAGTCAAGGTGTCTTGGGAGGAAAAAGGAAGGATGCTTGGGAAGTGTGTTAAATACTAAAGGACAGGAGAAGAAAGAGAAACTAATGAGGAATTTGAGAGAAAATGGCCATTCGTTCATAGAAAACCTAATGAACATTTTTTGTGTGTCTGGCTCTGCCAAAGACACAGAAAGGACACATCCTTGACCCAAGAAGCAGCCAAGGTATCCTGGGTGAAAGTATTTTGTAGCATTAGTTAGTAAATACTAAAGAGATGAAAATAGATAATGTGAAACTAAGCTTTTATAGAAGTTCACTGGTGGACGCTATGACAAGGGAGATCGTGGAGAAGTGGAATTAGAATACAAGTTTACTTTGGTGCCAAATATTGAAAAAAAAAAAAAAAAGACAATCCTTTCACAGTTTTCATAATATGCGTTGTCCCCGAACTTTTTGAAAACTTCGCGTATTGTGAGTTAGGGTAACAGCTGTATAAAGCAAGAATGGTTATGAATTCAGAAATTGCGCATATGGACAGTGGACAAGCCGTCTGCGACAAAGGAAGATCTGACGAATCTAAAAGAATTCTCCATCTCGGATTGCTCTAAAACCAAGTCCTCAAGAAGGGGAGTCCAAAGACACCTCGACCGCGGCGAAGCCTCCGCTCCCGGAACCTATGTGCCAGCTCGGTGTTGCGATACGGAGACGGTTTGTGTGACACTCCCCTCCGCCTCCGCCTCGCCCCGCGCCGCGTGGGTGCCATGGCAACGGAGGGAGCTGGAGACCTGGGTTCCGGAAGCCGGAGCGCTTGAAGCTACCCGGGTCAAAGGATGCTGAGTCCGGAGCGTCTAGCCTTACCGGATTACGAGTATCTGGGTAGGAGCATCCTTCAATTTAAGGGAAGGAAAGACGCGAAGACAGATTAGGCCAGGGTCTAGGAAAGAGGCGGGTCGGGTGTGGGTGGGGACGGCTCGGGTGCGATCCGTGGGGCGGGGGTTCCAGGACGTGCGGGTGTTTTTAAGGCCGAGCCGTAGAGGATACAGCCTCTGGGAAGGGCAGCATGTCTGAAGGGTTTGGGCTGCAGCTCCCGCAGTGTGTTCAGACTGGGGCGGGTTAGCGCTGAGAGCCTGGGGCCCTGCGGAGTACGGGTGTGCTGGTAGATGGAGTAGCCCTGGAACCTGCCATGCCCAGCGTTCCGTGAATAATCACGTTTCCGGAGAGCGACTGCTACCGTTTGAGCTGTTCTTTTGTATTAGGCGCTGCACTTCACATTATACGTGTGTTATTTTTTATTTGACTCTTCTCAACAGCCCTAGGAGAATTTCAACACGTTTTTGTTTTATTCGGGTTTGCCTAAGGAGAAACAGAGTCTCAGTGGGGTAACTTGTATAAATAAGACCACACATCCAAAAGGTGATAACGCTAGGATCCAAACCTGAGTTGTGTGTTCAAGGACTTGAGCTTTTTTTTTTTTTTTTTTTTTTTTTTTAATTAGAGAGTTTTGTTTATTATAGAGTGCATGTGAGAAATCTATGACCCCCCTACCCCTTCATGGCCACACTACAATCCCTTCTCCTCCATTTTCCTCTTAGGAATTTTGGGCATGCATGCCCACGGACCTGACAAGTCTAAAAGCTGCTGGGTACGGGACTCGAACTGTGATGTAACTGTTATGCCATCTGCTGGTCCCAGGACTTGAGCTTTTGACTTAGCTTTGGAACTGAAGCTAAAGCTGTAACTGTCGTACTTTATTGAGCACCTTCAGTTTTTGCTATAGGGCGCGTGCGCTTGCCAGACAGAGAGAGCCAGAGAGATAGAAATGCCACAATCCTTTCTCCTCCATTCTCCTCTCGGGATCTTGGGCACGTACGCACACACGCCCGGAGTGAGTTTAAGCCACCTGGTCCAGGACTCGAACTGCGGTCAACTACGTGGGAGTCCAGCAACATAGCCATTACGCTAACTGCTGGTCCCCTGAGCATCTTCAGTATATAAGGCATTTGCTGGATGAAAAAAGGCACACACACCTATGTATACACATACATACTCATAGATACACATTTTTAAAAATCATAGGCCTTTTTTTTAAGAGGAGTTTTAGGTTTACAGAAAATCGAGCCGATAGTACAGAGTTCACATGTACTCCTTGCTTCCCCTAATCACACTTCCCCTTATTGTTGTTATTATTATTATTTTGCTAGAGGATGTGTACAGTCACCAGAGAGAGAGAGAGATACAGGGAGGGACCATACTCGATGGGATGTGGTCTCCTGACAATCCCTTCTCCTCATTCTGTTGTAGTTTTGGTACTCACACAAAGATGCCCACTATATGTTTCTTTTTTTGAGAGGTTTTTGCTATAGGGCGCATGTGCTTTCCAGAAAGTCAGAGAGATATAGACAGAAAGCAAGAAATCACTCCTCAGGGAGGATGGCCATGCCACATCCCTTCTCCTCCTCCTTTTCTCAGGATCTTGGGCACACACACATATGCACCGGGTGTGAGTTTAAGCCTCCAGGTCCGGGACTTGAACCGTGGTCTACTACATGGGAGTCCAGCAACATAGCCATTACGCCAACTGCTGGTCCCAACGTTTTGCACTAATGTACATTTGTTACAGTGAATAAACCAGTATTGATATATTATTATTAACCGAAGTCCATCGTTAATGTTAGGGTTCACTCTTGTTTGTGTCTAACAGTTCTTTGGTTTTGACAAATGCATATAGTCACGTATTCACCATTATAGAATCATACAGAATAGTTTTACTGCCTTAAAAATCCTCTGTGCTCCACATAGTCTTCCCTCTTCCTCCCCATTAGCCTTTGGCAACCACTGATTTTACCCTCTCTAAAGTTTTTCATTTTCCAGAATATTCTGTAGTAGAGTCATACAGTGTGTAACCTTTCAGATGTGCTTTTTAAAAAATAATTATTTAATTTTATGTGTTATTATTATTACCAGAGAGACAGAGAGAAAAGGGTAAGTGAGAAAGCAAGCCACCAGGTCCAGGACTCTAGCTGGCTGTGTGAGAGTCTAGCGCTTTAACTACCATGCCACCTGCCAGCCCCTCAGATGTGATTTTTCACTTAGCAGTAACCATTTAAGATTTTTCCAATGTCTTTTTTTGTCTTTCTATTGCTGAATAATATTCCACTGTATGAATATAACATACACATTTTTAAAAAATTGACTTTTGCTATAGGGTGTGTGCACTTGCCAGAGAGACAGAGACAGAAAGCGAGAAATCACCCCTGATGGGGGATGGCCATTCTGCAGTCCCTTCTACTCCATTCTCCTCTGGGGATTTTTGGCACACACATGTGCCCAGGGTGTTTCAAGTTGCTAGGACTCAAACCACAGTTGACTACATGGGAGTCCAGCACCTTAACCAGTATACTACTTGCTGGCCCCTAGATTATAAACTCTTTAAGAGCTGGGGCTATTTTTTTTTTCAGTATTCCTCCAGTTTGTTACTTTAAATCAAAATTGTTTTCATTTAAGATGTGTATAGTACATCGATGAGTTGGCTCCATGGCATAGCGGTAACCTGCTGTGCTGCTCGAATAGCCAGATTTTGGGATTGCAGATGGTGAAATAATTACATTCCTGGACTCTCACATAGTCAACAACAGTTTGAGCCCAACAATGGTTTGAGTCCCAGACCCAGTGGCTTAAAATACACCAAACACAGGGGAGCAGCAGTTGGCGTAATGGCTATGTCTCTGGACTCGCACGTAGTTGACCATGGTTTGAGTCCCAGACCCAGTGGCTTAAACTCATGCTGGGCATGTGCGCATGTGTGCCCAAGATCCCGAGAGGAGAATGGAGGAGAAGGGATTGTAGCATGGCCATCCCCCCAGGGGGGTCACTTCTTGCTTTCTGTCTCTCTGTCCCTCTCTGTCTTTCTGGCTAGTGCACGCACCCTATAGCAAAAACTTCTCAAAAAACAAACAAACAACAACAAAAAAACCCACCAGATACACATGTGTGTATATGCCTAAAATCCCAAGAGGAGAATGGAGGAAAAAAGATTGCAGCATGATCATTCCCCATGAAGGGTGATTTCTTGCTTTCTGTCTGTCTCTGACTCGATGGCAAGCATGCTTTAGCATACATCTCTCTTAAAAAACAAACAAACAAACAAAAAACCAAGAAGCCAGATCCCATGTAATGATTGTGGTTTGAAATCCCAGCCAAGTCAGCCTGCAAAACACACCAGGCATACACGCGAGAGCCCAAGATCTGATGGGCTGGAGGTCTAGAGAAGAGGGCTAGTGTGACCAGACCCTGTGGAGGGAACTCATCTTTCTCTGTCTTTCTCAGTTTCAAGTGCATATGTACATTCTCTATCAAGAATAAAATAATAAATAAAAAATGTGTGTGTTGGGACCAGTGGATAGTGTAATGGTTATGTCACTGAACTCCTGTGTAGTTGACCGTGGTTCAAGTCCTAGACCCGGCGATTTGAAACTCATGCCAGGCACGTGTGCTTGCATGCCCAAAATCCCAAGAGGAGAATTGAGGAGAAGGGGTTATGATGTGGCCATCCCCCTTGGGAGGAGTGATTTCTCAGTTTCTGTGTCTGTCTCTGTTTCTCTGGAGAGCACATGCACCCTATAGCAAAAGTCTCTCCCTAAAAAACAAATTTTATTGTGCTCGTTTCGGCAGCACATTTACTAAAAAACAAATTTTATTTAGCCAATCCCATATTGGTAGACAATGATTTATTTTTAGCCTTTTGCTAGTACTAAAAATGCCTCAGGAACCAGCAGATGGCATAGTGGTTACGTCCTTGGACTCCACATGACTGACCACAGTTCAAGTCCTGCACGCAGTGACTTGGAAATTACACCTGGCGTATGCGTGTGTGTTTGCCCAAGATCTCAGAAGGAGAATGGAGGAGAAGGGATTGTGGCATGGTCATCCCCCCTGGGGGGTGATTGCTTACTTTCTCCCCCACTGTGTCTGTCTCTTTCTGTCAAGGGCACGTACCCTAAAGCAAAAACCTCTCAAACAACAACAACAACAACAACAACAACAAACAGTGAATAACCTTCAATTTTGTTCCCTTGCAAGTGTATATCCATAAGGAAAAGTTCCACAGAGTGGAACTGGTGGGCCAAGGGCATATGCATTTGAAATATTGATCTGTATTGCTCCATCACTCTTCATAGAGGCGCCACCAGCAATGTAAGAGAATGCCCATTTCCCCACAGCCTTGCCAACAAAATGAATGAAGTTTTTGGATTTTTTACAGTCTATTAAGTGATGGTCTTAGTAGTAAGTAGTAATGTGTCATTGTGTGTGTGTGTGTGTGTGTGTGTGTGTGAAGTTATGTTTTTTTTACACCAAATTTAAGGGCTTTTGGGTTGTTGAAAGGTGTGTGTGTGTGTACATGAGAGGTCTTCAAAAAGTTCACAGAAAATGCATCTTATGAAAAAACTGCATAGATTTCAGAAATTTTTTTGGTACCAGAATAAACTCATATTTAAATTCTATTTTCTATAAGCATTTTAAAGTACTCTGTGTACACACACATGCACACACACACAAACACACACATATATACATGGAGAGTTTAAGGTGATAACATGCATTAATTGGCCAAAAAGGGATAGTTATATTACCTGGAATTTTGTAGCCAATGAACAGCAACATCAGTTCCAGCAATGTGTAGACTTTTGCTAAAGACTTTACGTGTTTTATTTCATTTACTCAGGACTCAGTAGGTCTTTGAAATACTTGAAAAACCTCGTTCATTGTTCATTGTTGTTTGAATGTATTATTTCAAAGGTTTGACATACTTGGTATCCTGGTGATTTGGTAAGTAGAAGTTGGTGGCCATAAGTGGCTTTTTCGGGATGACTCATTCA